GACGGCACCCGACGGGACCACCTGACCTTGAGGTCGAGTGTCCTCGGCAGGGCGGGGCGTGGTGGGCAGGGCATCTCTCTCTCTCTCTCTCTCTCTCTCTCTCTCTCTCTCTCTCTCTCCCTCTCTCTCTCTCCCTCTCTCTCTCCCACACACACACGCAGTCCGGGCGGCCGGCCCAAGCAAGGCGTGCTGCAGTGCGGAGTCGCAGCCGCTCCGGCCACGTCATGCAGGCCCTCGCCGCCCTCCCCGGCAAGGGACTGGACAGTGCTCTCGCCGCCCCGTCTCTCTCCCTCTCTCTCTCTCTCTCTCTCTCTCTCTCTCTCTCTCTCTCTCTCTCTCTCTCTCTCACTCGCGGGGCGTTCCGCGGGGGTGCGAGAGAGACGGAGCGAGGGTCAGCCAGTGAGCGGCGCCGAAATGGATTCCGTATTCGCAGTCAGTCCGCGCTAACGGTCCGTCCGGCACGCCTCTGCCAATAATGGCCCTTGAAATTCAACACCACGGCCCGCGTGTCCGCGTCGTCTGCTAGCGCAGCGCGGCACAGCGCGGCGCAGCGTCACGACCAAAAGGAACCAATGACAACCAGCCAGCCCTGATTTACTCTACAAATCGAAGAGTGTACATGGTATGCTCTAACTGGAGCATGCCTGCAAGCACGCTCTAGCTAGCGCATGCCTGCCAGGCATGCACTAACTAGTGCATACATGCCATGTACACGCTAACTGAAGCATGCATCTAGTGCATAAGGGATAGGGAGTTGTCTGCATCAGGAAGCGTGTACATGGTATGTATGCGCTAGTAAGTGCATGCTTGGCAGGCATGCGCTAGTTAGAGCGTGCTTGCAGGCATGCTCCAGTTAGAGCATACCATGTACACACTTTGATTTGTAGAGTAAATAGAGGTCGCAGCAGTCGTCGTGTACTGGGACTTCCTACGCAAGGGGAGGATGAGACTGCCCATCAGCACACACAAACACGCGCACACACACACACACACGCAGTGGGCGGTGGAGCAGCAAGGCATGGATGCGACGAGCGACAAGGCATTTCGCGCGCACACTCATACACTCACTCACTCACACACACACACACACACAAACTCGTCGCGATATGCATCCCGGGACCGCGACGCAAAACAAAGACGTACCGAAAAGACGCACTTGGTTGTGTCGGTGGCGACAAACACACACAGTGAGGCCGCCGCCGCCGCCGCCCGCAGACTGACTCCGCGTTTTCGTCGCTCTGTCTCTCTCGCAGCCATGCGGGACGCCCCGTGAGTGCGAGAGAGAAACGGCGACTTTCGGAGTCGGTGTGCAGCGACGTGCATGACCGCCACCACGACGACGGCGGCGCGAGGGGCCGAGCGGTACCCGAGCGTGAAATGGTGGGCGCCCCGAGCCAACATTACGTACGGGTATTAGCGGTGTGGCGGGGCGGGGCGGGGCGGGGCGAGGCACGCGGGCGTCAACCGGAAGACGGATGGAACGGCGAAGATGAAGACGAAGAGGATCACGACGACGACAAACTTGCCCAAGTTGCCGCGGCGGCCTGGACGCCACCGCGCCCCACGGCGGGGCCGCCCCGCCACGCCCAGCTCGCTCGCTCACTCACTCACACACCCACACGTCTGATCGGCACGGAAGTTGCTCCATTAAGTTGTCCCGGCAGGCTTCTGCTGGAGAGCGCGGCCCGGCACGGCCCGGAGGCCCGGCCCGCCTGGAGCACGCACACTCACACACACAAACACGCAAACACACACACGCGGCTCGGTCCAGGCAGCGCGGCACAGCGAGATCAGAGTGTCATTTCTGAGAAGTTCGGCCGGAGTGATCAAGGATATAAAAGCGCTACAGAGAAAAACGCAAAAAGGGACGGCGACGCGGCGGGCTGGCCGCCGGCCGGCGCGGACACTGTTCATTATCTTCACAATAAACCCGACGATAAAAGCGCGCCCCTCTTTTAGCGTGACCCGCAAAAAAATTGAGCGTCGGTCGAATCGACCGGCCGCGTTTTGCAAGAGCACTTCGAGTGGAGTGGAGAAGCGCAAGGACTTTGGCGGTCGAGCAAAGGTAGCGGCAGCGGTAGGCAGGCGCACAGTGGGCCAGAAGAGCGGTGGAGGCGGCCAAAATTCGAGACCCGTCTTGAGCTCCAGAGTCGCTAAATGGGACTCGAACCGGACCTGTGACCCCACCAATGGATTGCTCTCTGCACGAGGAATCCGTTGGTGGGGTCACACGTTCGGTTCGAGTGCTGTTTGGCTACTCGGGAGCTCAAAAAGCGTCTAGAGTTTCGACCGCCTCCACCGGTCTTCTGGCCCACTGCGAAGACGCACACGGGCGGAGGGCGGAACTAGCAGTGCCCTGGCAATGCCGAACCATTTTCGTCGACACTGTAAGGACGTCGGCGGCCGGGGAGTATTGTTCCCGGAGGAGGCGGCCGCGGCCGTCCTTGAAGAGGATCGCTTCGGCAGGACTGCAGGGCGTCGCCGCCGGCCGGCCCGTCGCTCTGTCTCTCTCGCACTCACGGGGCGCGCCGCAGGGCCGCAGGGGTGCGAGAGAGACAGAGCGACGAAAGTGTTCGGAATCGGGCCGCTGTTAGTCACCGAGGCGTCGCGGCGTCTCGCCGCACCACACAGTGTGCCACACACGGGCCGCGCGAGGACTGCCCCCTCCCCCGGCGAGTCCCTTCCCTGCCTCACGGTTCACCTGTGTGTATCCGCAATCATAAATCAAGATAAGGACGCAGGTACACGCCATCCGCGACGCGAGGCGACGCGACTCACAAAGCCCTGCCTATGCCTACGCCGCTGCCGGCTGGCTACCGCCTCCACCCGGCTTGGCGCGGCCACGCGGCTACGCCACCGCCTTCCAAAACAAGCCGTCAAGCCCCAGGACCAGAGTAGCCAATCCTCCTGGGGCGTACGGCGCACTAAATTCCAGCCGAGCTGCAGACTGATTCCGAGAGTCGTTCTCGTCTCTCTCGCACTCATGGGGCGACCCGTGTGGGTGCGAGAGGGACGGGGCGACGAAAACGACTCTCGGAATCAGTGTGCTGGACGGAGCGGCCGGTAGTTGGAATGGCACGGCCGGGCGCTGTCAAGCAACAAGCCGAACCGAACCGACCGAGCACCGAGCCCCAGCCGGCCGGGCGCTCATGCCAGGCCATGTGGCGGCACGGCGGCGGAACCGGGCGGGCGGAGGCGGGATACAGGTGGGGGCGCTGCGCGGTGCGTCGCTCAGTGGGCCAGAAGACCGGTGGAGGCGGCCAAAACCCTAGACGCGTTTTGAGCTCCAGAGTCGCTAAACAGGACTCGAACAGAACGTGTGACCCCACCAATGGATTCCTCGTCCGGAGAGCAATCCATTGGTGGGGTCACATGTTCGGTTCGAGTCTCATTTAGCGACTCTGGAGCTCAAAACCCGTCTTGAGCTTTGGCCGCCTCCACCGGTCTCCTGGCCCACTGTGCGTCGGGGGCCGCCGGCCTTCCCTTCCCTTCCCTCACATCTGCAGATGCGTCTCGAGTCCGAGCCGTCTGGGCTGTGCCGGGCCAGACCAGACCTTGGCTCGGCGCGCGGCTCGCTGACCTGTTTCTCGAATACGCCGTCGTCTGCTCGCTCCCCTGCGAACGGGCGGTGCGGGGGTGCGGGTGGCGCCAGTTCGCGCCGCCCCGAGCGCCACCGGCCGGAGCCACCCCACCCCAAGCCCCACCCCGCCGACGTTCGAATGACGAATAAACACCAAAAAAGGAAAACAGGGGGAATTTTCGCGACAGCTCCTTGAAACGCCCCAAAGAAAACCGAGAAACGGAATTAGAAAATAATCACTATGACGCCCACTTATAAGGCCTCGCGAGGTACGAAAAGAGACAGCTGACGTTTAAGTCGAAACCAAAATGAACGGAGACGACTCTCCACTGAAGTACGTACTGCAGAGCTCGCAAGGCCCTTGATCGGAAAGCAGCCGTTCAGGCAGGAGAACCCAAGTCACGCAGAGCCACGCAGCGCCGGGGCCGCTCCAGCAGAGGACTTACTCTTCCATGGGGTAGTCCAGGATGAAGGCCATGCCGGCGGCGGCTGAGGGACACCAGGGCGACCGCGAACGCGTCCTCGACGGCGACCTCGCGCACCCACCCGAGCCAACCCGGGGACCGTGGGACCGACGCCGACGTGGGAGCGGCGCGCTTCGCGACTCGAGCGACTCGACTTGCTGGCGGCCTGGCGCAGCCTGGCGCGCTTTCGGCCCTGTGGCGTCGGCGAGCACCGGCCAGCCGCCCAACCCGCCCCAGCACACCGGGTGGCGTCCGAGGCACCCCGACGTGCCCGCCGCGGCCACCAGGGCGGCGCCGCCACCTTCGCACGCGGACTGCGGGGGTGGGGGCGCGGCAGGGGCGGCAGGGGCGGTCCGAAGCGCGCTAAAAATACGCTCTCAACCTGCACGTCGACGGCGAGCAGCGCGTCCGCCACGCCGAGGCGCGCACCAGGCCGCGGCCACCCCACCCCTCTTCCTTTCCACACATTTCGCATCTCTTTTAGCTGGTTTACGCTTGTTGTTGTTCCCGCCTTTATTTCTGGGCGCCTGCTGCACTCGGCAGTGACCCCAATGCGCGCCAATCGAAGCGTGATTATTATTTCGGCTCGCGGTGGGCTTTCCCTCTCCCCCCGCCAGGCAGCCCCCGCCGGCTCCCCGTGTAAACACACGTCCGCGTCGGCGCCCCCGCGCGCTCTGGAATGACTTCACCCCTTGCCATCAAGACGGCCACTTGTTCGCGGGAACGCGAGTTCGTTTCGGCGGGTGTTGCCCCCAGGCCGCACCCTGGCAGTCAACCGACAGAGAGAGAGCGAGAGAGCGGGAAAGAGAGCGAGAGAGAGAGAGAGAGAGAGAGAGAGAGAGAGAGAGAGAGAGAGAGAGAGAGAGAGAGAGAGAGAGAGAGACAGAGACAGAGAAAAAGAGAGAGGCAGCGCGGCGTGGTGGACATGCAGTGGACATGCAGTCCCGCCGACTCACCCGTCCGAGAGGATGTCGTCCTGGAAGCGAGGCTGCGCCTGAGGCTGCGGCGAGCCCCAGGCGGCGCCGTTGGCGTGGTGCGCCGGCGCGGCGTGCACGACGTGCGGCGTGGAGGTGGCGTATCCATTGACGGCGAGGCCGCGGCCGGACGCCTTGCGCACCAGGCTGGGGCTGGACAGCCCGTTGCTGGCGTGGCCGGCGTGGTGGCCGGCGTGGTGGCCGGGGGTCACGGAGGGCGCCATGGGGGCGGCGGGGCTCGGCGCGGGGCTGGCGGCGTTGTTGGAGGCGCCGGGCACGTACGTGAAGGGCCGGCCGTCCAGGCGGGCGTGGTACGGGATGTCATCCAGCGCGGCGTCCGTGTTGGTGCCGCACGCACCGGGCGTGAGGGCCGTCAAGGTGTCGGACGACGCGGGCTGCGCGTGGCCGTAGCTCTGGCCTGACTGGCGCCGCGCCGCCGCCGCCGCGGTGGGGCCCAGGCCAAGGGGGCCCGGGGGGGCTAGGCCTGTGCCGCCAGCCGTGGGCGCGCGCTGGTACCGCGGCTCGCCGCCGGAGCGCTGCGCGCGCTGAAGGTCGGCGCGGGCCGACGGCATGGTCGGGGGCGCCGTCACCGCCCTCTGGTGGTGCTGCTGGTCCGGCTTCAGGTCCGGGATGCTCTCCACCGTGAGCAGCATGTCGTTGAGGAGGTCGTCCAGGGCGCGCTGGCTGCTGGTGGACGACGGCGCCGCCGCCAGCACGCCGCCGCCCGCGCCGTTGCCCGCCGACGAGATGCCCGAGTCCATGGAGATGGTGAGCTCGCTGCCCGGCCCCACGGCCTGCTGCTGCGCCCGCGCGCGCTGCAGCTGCAGATGCTGGTCCTGTTGCTGCTGCAGCAGCATGCGGCGGTGGTGCTCCTCCTGCTGCTGCAGCTGCTGCAGCTGCTGCTTGCGCCCCACCGTGGCGTACAGCGACCCGTCCAGGGGGCCATACGTGTGGCTCAGCTCGTCGTCTTGCTCTGCAACAAACACGCCCCGTCTCGTTAGCAGTGGCGGCGCCATGGCGGCGCACAGACCTGGGCCTGACACCATATATACCAGGCCTTCAGCGTTCGAGGAAGCACACTGGTAAAGGCGTACTATTACGCCCTTCGTGAAGCGTACAGCCAGTACGCCCTTCTTCAAGGGTACAAGAGTTCATGCGCTCCTTTCTTCCTATCTAAATGCATGGGGGAATTGCCTTGAAGCGTAGTTGTACGCTTCAAGAAGGGCGTACAGTCTTGAAGCGTAGTTGTACGCTTGAATGAAGCGTACAACTACGCTTTAGTTTTACCAGTGCATCCATACAACAAACATAGAACTCAGACCGCGAACCTCAATCGCGCACCTCCGGTAAAGTCCGGTCCCCACGGTGCCGACTAACCAGTCTTTTCACAAAATCAGAACTGTAATTTAATGTTTGGTTTTCATTTGAATAACGGGCAATGCTCACGAGACTCGCAAGCCGTGAGATCCACATCATCAGCCCGAGACGAATCAAATTGGTCGATATCCCGAAACTCATGCGGCGGCTCCTGCCTGCCTCTCTGTGGACTCCCTGGCGACCTAAGCGCTGGGGAGTCCCTCCAGCCCAGCCGTGCCCAGCAGGCCGAGAGTCGCTTTCGTCGCTCTGTCTCTCTCGCTCTCGTGGGGCGCCCCGAGTAGGTGCGAGGGAGACAGAGCGACGAAAACGACTCTCGGAATCAGTCTGCAGCCTTCGATTCAGCTCGGTACACTTTGCCGAGGCAACAACGCCGTGGCTCATTGCCTCCTGGCACGCCGCATGCGGTCTAGTGTGCGTGCGCGCTCTCGTGTGTGTGTGTGTGTGTGTGTGTGTGTGTGTGTGTGTGTGTGTGTGTGTGTGTGTGTGTGTGTGACATCGAGGGTCAATGGCACGCACTCACGCTGTTTGGCCACAGGGACACGTAAGACAAAGAGTCTTCCACCCGTTTCGTCATCGCGGCGACGAAAACGTGCCCTTTCACTGCCAGCTGCGCGTCGCAAAAAAAGAAAAGAAAACGCACTATGTTTTAAACGGGAGTCGAACCCCCGACCTGGTCAGCAGCGCACTTGCTTCCTGGAAGTGTTGTTGTTGACGCTGGATGTGGCTGTCCGCTGGAATCCGACAGCGTCTGCGCGCTGATCCCTGTCATAGGCAAGGACGGATCCAGAGACGGGTTCAGGGGAGGGGGGATGTCGCAAAAGTTGCCAAATTCAGGGGGGGGGTGCCCCTTCCCCCTGGATCCGCGCCTGCCTCGCAAGCAGGGCCGTCGTCCGTCGCCAAAACTTGGCACTTGGCGCTCCTATCTCGCGTCCGCCGTCCTCCCTAGTGACCACTACACTAGGACACCGCGGCCGATAACGAGCCTGCACTGCAAGCCGTGCAAACATTGACTCTTCGCCAAGGGGAGGAGGATTTTCAGGGCAGAGCGGCGGCGCGGCCGCGAAACCAGGAGCCAGCCGAGCCAAGCAGCTAGACAAAGACGCTCACTCCGCCCTCGCCGCTGCGAATATCTAAGTGCGACAGAGAGAGAGAGAGAGAGAGAGAGAGAGAGAGAGAGAGAGAGAGAGAGAGAGAGAGAGAGAGAGAGAGAGAGAGAGAGCTAGGCCGCGCTAGGCCCCGGCAGAGTCACGCGACTGCAAATAACGCTGCGTATCGCCCTGCGGGTAACGAGGCGTCAACACGGGACTGCGTATAATGACCGCCGTCGTGCGAATAGTGTCGTCGCGTGCGCGTCGTGCGCCGTGTGAATATGGCGATCTGATGGGACTGGCGGCGTGGCGGCGTGGTCACAGTCGTGCGCTAGTGAGCCAAAGATCGCGGGTTCAAAAGTCTACATTAGTTTTATTTTTCATTCGACACAGTCGCACGGAGGAGACCTTCGTCATCGACCTTAATTTAGGGCTCGCAATCTTGATTATCTTAAAGCGTTCAAACAGGCGTTGGCAAGCGAAGAGATAAGCGGGGGGCGCTGCTGGCAAGGGAGGGGAGGGGTGGGGGTAGGCCGGCTAACCTGCGACAAACGTCGAGCAAATGCAACCGTCTATCTCTAATTTATCGTTATTTCAGTCCTCCTTGCTTTTCGCCCCCGCGCCCCGCACCGCGCGCACACCGCTAGCACCCACCACACTGCCAGCACGGCCAGCACCCACACCGGCCGCAGGGCGCGGATCAGCGCGGACCCGCAGGGCTCTCGGATCCCTCCTACACCTTTCTATTTTAAACATGTCGCGCCTCTCATCGGCTCACCGATGAGTCCGATCTAGGATTTCACGAGAGCGGCGCGGACGGCAACGACGGCGACGACGACGACCGTCGATGCGACGACGCGGCGCGACGCGGACTCGGCACGCCGCGACAAGGGGGAGAGGGGCCTCGCCCCATGACACCTAGATGTCCATCCCACTGAGAAGTAGGCAAAAAGCCATGTTTTGTTCCGGCAAGGGAGCAAAAGGCCGGCTCTGGCTGGACCCGCCGCCGCGCCGCGATGCTCGGCGTGGTGGCGGTGCGCGGACCATGGTGCACCGCGGCGCACCGTGGCGGTCGACGGCCACGTGTTCGAGTGCCGCAGCTGCAGTCCGAGTAACTCGAGCTGCCGCCAGGACGGCACGGCGGCGCGGACCGCGGTCGTGCACTGCTCGGTGAGCTCGGGCGCTGCTGCTGGCAGCCTGCTGCACTGTGAGCCCGCAGGAGTACCAGTGTGGTGGACTGACACGGACACGGCCTCGCCGAGGAATCAAATACCAGCATGCCCGCGGATGGCGAGCCAAGGCCGCACTAGCAGCCGATCCAGTGGCCTGGTCGCCCGGCCAACCAGTCAGCCATAGTCGTCCAGGAATCACGTAACGGGGCCTCAGGGGTGCCTCACGGTGTGGTGGCGGTGACCCTTGTGGCCCATTGGGAACCATTAGGATTGCGTGCGGAGGTGCGGAGGGAAGGTCCATGTTTCGAAAAAATTCACAGAAATAATGACTTTTGCATAATTACAAAACAAGAAAATTAACAAACTTTGAAAACCATTCCAATTTTAAGGCGGAACGTGGCTGAGATGACGAGCATTAAACTGTGAACCCAACCCGTGCATGCAGAGGGTTTGTACCTGTCGCCGTCCCCGATGGATGGGTGCACCCTTAACGGAACTGCACTTGGCCCCGTTGAGGGTCTCGGGGACAAAGCCTGTCCAGGTGGACGCGTGAGGCATCGCGCTCAAGCACGCACGCACACGCACACACACAACGCACGCACGCGCGCCCCGTCCTCCGCTTTCTCCGCTGGCTACGCCACTGCCGTGCCGGAGGACGGGCGGCGGCAAGAGTGCGGCAACTGCGGCGCGGCGCGGCGCGAGTTGCGTCGGTCTGCACGGTGCCGGTGCGGAACGCGGGGCGAACGCGCGGAGCCGGGCCGGGCGGCCATCCCGGCGCGCCCTTATAAGGCACGTTGCGGCGTGGAGCAGATCGCGAAGCAGGCGAAGCAGTGGCCTGGCCTGCACGCCGGCCCGCTCGGCCCGGCCGGCCGCGCGCCGCACAGTGGGCCAGAAGACCAGTGGAGGCGGCCAAAACTCTAAACGCGTTTTTAGCTCCAGAGTCGCTAAATAGGCCTTAAGCCGAACGTGTGACCCCACCAACGGATCGCTCTCCGAACGAGGAATCCGGTGGGGTCACACGCTCGGTTCGAGTCCTGTTTAGCAACTCTGGAGCTGAAAACGCGTCTTGGAGTTTTGGCCGCCTCCACCGGTCTTCTGGCCCACTGTGCGCCGTCGACCAGTCGACCGCCAGCAGCCGGCTCTCCGAACAGTCGCGCTGTCTCTCTCGCACTCACGGGGCGTCCCCTGCAGGTGCGAGAGAGACAGAGCGACGCTGTTCGCTGCCGGACGCGTTATCTCGGACCGTCCTCCGACCCGCACTGCACCGCCTGCCCCTGCAGTGCCCTGCAGTCCTTGCTCCGAGGTGGTCGACTCGTTCAGTTACTAATTCGGTCGCACGCCGATCGCGTCGTCTGCTGCACTGCAACAACAGAGCGTCGACCCCCGCGTGGCGGACCGAGTGAAGACTGATTCCGAGAGTCGTTTTCGTCGCTCTGTCCCTCTTGCAACTGTAGGGGCCGCCTTGGAGTGCGAGAGGGACAGAGCGACGAAAACGACTCTCGGAATCAGTCTGCTGGCGGACGAGCAGAGTAACAGCCCGAGAAGGCCGCAACGATGCCGGATTCGGCCGCGACTTGCGAGGCTCTGCAGGTCGGTCCCTCTGTCTGTCTCTCTCGCACCCCCGCGGCCTGCGGGGCGCAAGGCGGGACGGCCCGCGAGTGCGAGCGAGACAGAGCGTCAGGGCGTCCTACGCCTTGTCGTAAAGCCGGGACATGATGACGAGCGGCGGCGCGGCGGCGTGTGGATTGAGAGGGAAGGAGGAAACAAAAAAATAAATTCTGTCATTTGAGATGTGCGCGTGAGCACTGCGTGAGCGGAGCCTATCGCAGGAAAGAGCGAACGGCTCCGTCTGCGCCAGACAGCTTCACGAGGCGAAGGCGCGGAGGAAGGACTGGAAAAAACGCAACAAAGTTCAGAAGGCGGACACAGTGAGGCAGAAGACCGGTGGAGGCGGTCAAAATCCAGGACGCGTTTTGAGCTCCAGAGTCGCTAACTGGGACTCGAACCGCACGTGTGACCTCACCAATGGATTGCTCTCCGAACGAGGAGTCCATTGGTGGGGTCGCACGTTCGGTTCGAGTCCCATTTAGCGACTCTGGAGCTCAAAACGCGTCCAGAGTGTTGGCCGCCAGAGCCAGTGTTGTGTCCAGCTGTGCGGCGTGTCTGATGGCCTCCAGGACGCTCAGGAGAAGGGCGCTCCGGAGTGAGGGCGACTTAAGCACGGACCGTGTTCGCAGGCAACCTGCAGGACGCCGTGTTGGCGTCCAGACCGACGCCATGACTGACGGCCGAAAGTGATTCCCAGCCACGCCGCGTCGCTCATCGGCCTCCGTCCC